CAAAAGGGGCTGTTGACCCATTTCCTTGACAGCTTAGGCTGTTGTCATGGCTATGCTGTAGAGCCAAACATGCATTATTTTCATTCAGCGCATTCCTGCGATAGCAGCTTTATCACTGGCGGAGGACAGCACATGCAAACAGGGTCTTCCAGAACCACCAAACCCCATGGATGCAGATGCTGGWGCCTGCACCAGCACCAAGTTCCACACCGAGGAAGGAAAGATAAGGAAGCGGCTGCCCTGCAGCCAGGCTCAGGTGGAGCTATCCAGAGGCCCTGCGGATATTTGTTATCTCTTTCCTCGGGCTTTAAGCCATAATCACTTTATAGCCATAATCACTTTTTACTCTCTAGGCTGTAAATCCACACCAGCATACAAGAGGCCCTTAATTCCATAACACATTGTCAGCCRGCGCTTGCTTTTAAAATATTTAACTTCTGCAGGCTCCCCAGCAACGTGGGTGCTGCCGAGGACCCGGGGAGGCTTTTAATTCTTCAGCAGGCACTGGAAACCCAACTCCTCRCAGGCAGTCACATTTTTTCAGGTAATCTAGAACATGCTCAGATATTGTAAATGCTTTTGTCGGATAATTGACCTTGAAATTTGACCTTGAAAATCACCCGGCAATGTAGCACACTCGGCTGTGCTGAGGGCATATACCGTGTAACACAAACTGCTCTCCTGGAGGGCGGTGACGGGCTGTAGATCCCTATCAGCTTTCTGCATGCCCAGGCCTGAGATTAGGAGGCCATTCTGCTCAAACCGTCACACTTTTTCTTTCTCAGTGACACACTTCCCTCCCGGTGAGTCACKTAAGTAACCAGTCTAAAAATGAGAAGCTGCCTTTCAAAAGAACCCGCTCTGGGGTGAGTTCACGTTTTAGTAGATCACGAGACAAGCCTGGTTTGTCCCCTGCATCACAACAGTGGGACACGGGAGCAGCAAGYGAGGTTCCTTCAAGTCACAAAAATCTCTCCTTGCTTCGCTTGGACATAACATTTGCATCAGGCTTCCTGTTCACAGCTTTCTCTGCTCATTTATGAAAAACAGCACAACTCTACATAAAAATGTTTCAAAAGTAGGTGGTGCTCTCTCCCCACGCTGCCGCCCATTTCCCATTACTGCCCAATTCATGAATGTGAGTGAAACAGCCTGAAGTGCATGGAATTTATTAGTGAGTCAGCTGAGATCTTAACAAGAGCTGAGTTCTCAAACGCCTGATGGTTACAGAGTGTGCATTGCCTCATGTGATCCTCGAGAACACTAATCGTTATGTAAAAGTACAGACCAAATCACATAAAATCTTGCTGGGCTCCATAAACTGTACAGATGGGACGCTTTCCTGAAGGGTGGGRAGGATTCTCACAAGGAAAGTCCAGYTYMGGTGAGGAAGCATCATTCCCACGAGGATCCCACTTGCCTTCCACAACAGCCACATGCCCCGACTTCAGCTTTGGGTTTCCTATGTGGAGGAGTGCAGCACATCCCTCCTCTGTCATGTTTTTAGACTTGGCCTGTGCTGAGTTCAGCCCTGGAAACCCTCGGCGTGGGGCAGGGTGACAGCTAAAGGAACTCAGCAGCACGCTCCAGTGCAGGGCTGGAACAGGTCCAGCCTGCTCAGGGACGGGCCCTTCGGTGGCTCTCGTCCAAAAGCTGCTGTAGCCTCCGTGACAACAACTCCCTACCTTGGCAGGTACGCAAGTAATTCCTGTGGAGCAACAGCACAAGTCCAGGAAGGAAAGGAGAGGAGGAGATTGGAAAGAGCCGTCCAGAAACCCAAAAAGCAGCTGTGATTCAGAAGAGGCCCAAGGGAGGGCATGTCCAAGTCCAAAGCAAAGGCAGGAAGGGGAAAAAGGTCCTTCCCCTCTCCAATGCTCACACAGACAAGCGTTGGAGATCCTGTTAACCTCACTCGCTGGGCTGCCCGCAGCCCGGACACAGTTCCCCTGGGATCAGGGTTTCTTAATTGCTGTACCCCGGGAGAATGCACCAAGGGCCATTCTCCACTATTAAAAACAAGCACCCCTGCGCTTAGGCTTCCTGCATTAGGCTGCTAGAAGAGCGGCCGTTCTGGCCTCGAGTTTCCCTGAGGCTGGGGTGCAGAGCTCTCAACAGCTGCGCTGCACAGGGGCAGTGCTTAAATAACCCAGCATCCCCTCTCCCCGATATTCGGGTCAAGCCTCGCACTGCTGCTGCCTAATTTAATAAGCTCTGAAATGGCCTCACGCCACCGATTCGAGTCCCAACCCACCAGCCTCCCTATGCTGAAGTGGATTTCAGCCCTGCTTGCCAGCAGACTCCATTTAGACGAGTGCCCTTGGTGCAGAGACGGGACAGGCTGTGGGTCAGCAGGGCTCAGGGCAGCGCAGGGCTTGGCACTTCATTTGCTGCTTTCAGTGGTAGGTAGGAGCTGCGGCTCCTCGAGAGGCCACGCACCGTCTGTTTTCCTTGGCATCCTCCCTCTTCACTCAGCGCATGGGAGACAGAGGCTTCCTCCGAAACCGCTGCAGTCATTCCCTTAATAATTCCGTAATCTAGGAAATCTCCTGGCCTCCTTCTAGGCTGCAAAGAGACCACACCATTTCCCATTTGCTGTGCTGAGGGGGATGGCTTCACGCAGGACATGTAACAGCAAAAACAAGGTTGTAATAAAACTTAACCTGAACGAAAGCGCTGGTGTTTTTGCAGAGACAAGAGGGTCTGCTCACGCCAGCAGCTCAGCAAGCCCTGGGGAGCAGGGCAGCGGGTGCAGCCCCCGGCTTTTCTCAGTGCCCTCCTCCTGTGTGGGGAGGAGCTGCCCACGGTGACCAAGAGCCTCCAGGAGGCCGGGGGCGCGTGGCCTTGCGACACACCAGGAGCGGCCTCGGTGCGGCCGGCCCAGCATGTCGCTCCCACGTAGGCGCAGCGGCAGCCGCCGCCGGGGCAGCGCTCCYGGGAAAGGCAGGGCCAAAACCCGGCCCCCGGCTTGCTCTACTTCCTGCTAGGTTAGGCATGGTTTAAGTTTCACCAGGCCTAGTTATCCCAAGTGACCCACCCACTAAAAAGCTTTAACCCTTGCTGCCACCGGATGTCCTTGGATGTTGCTTTTTCAGAGAGAGATTTTGTGGTACGAGGCAGCGCCTGGTTGCGCTGCGCACTTGGGGAGCAGGCGGTGGCTCAGGGTGTGTGACTCTTCTCAGTTTCATATCCTGTGACCTCCTCTGAAACACAGCACATGCCTTCCAAACCAGGCCCGCCCTCCTCGGGCCCTTTTTTTTTTTTTTTCTTTTTTCCCTCTCTAAAGAAAAGTTGCAACAGCAACTTTATACTCTGCGGTTTTCCAGGATTTATATGTGATGACTCTTCCAGTTACAGCTCCCACAGAGGCCAGGCAGGGCCATGCAGAGCTGCACAAGGGCTCAAGGTCCTGCCACTTGCCTAAGCTCAGTCTACCCTGGCTCCTGACAACAGCCCCACATCTCAGTCCTCACACTCTCTCCAGCGTCACTGCTTCCAGCTTCCCACTTCCTTCCTCCGGCCTGCTGCCCTCTTTCCTTTCCAGCAAGTGCTTCATGGGCACTTCCTTTTCTTAAAACACAGCTCAGCTTCACACACAGGCTGCACTCACATGAAGCCTTTATTTTTTCCAGCCAAGCTTTTAGCAGCAATTCACCCAAGGTGCCCCATGTTAATTTTTCTAAGAGCTGCCAAGGTCAATGTCTGTATTTGCTGCACCTGGGAGCTAACGCAACACTAAGCAGGCCAGGGCAGCAGCCCAGCCAGGATCCCTATTCCATGGCTGTCTGATCACGCCCATTTGGGGCACAACCACAGGATTTGGGCTTCTCTGCAACACTCCAGCTCTGCCTCCGGCTCTGGCAACAAGTTGAGACCTTGAGGCCTGATTGCAGAGGCATTGCAGAAGACAGCTGTGTGGAAGCCACCTTGAGGGATTAGTTAGTCCATGCCTGAGCCCAGCTTGAGCGCTCTGGAAAGCATCCCGCAGATTTCTGTCTGAGCTTAAGCACTTCAGGGAGGCCCACGGGCCGCCCCAGCAGATGGCTTCCCTCAGGAAGCCCTTCCCCCTGCGCAGCCTACACCTTTCACCACAGAGCAGGGGGACTCCGAGCCAGCACCGGCTACCCCCTTTCCCGAGGGCGGGCTGCTATGGCGGGAGCGTGGACGGGAAGCAGGCACCGGTGGCCTCATGAGCCCTTTGAGGCGACGCAGGTGGCGAGGCCCCCTCAAGCGCCCCGCCCCCACCCCGCCGGGCCCAACGGTCGCGGCCAACCGCCGCCTGGCGGGCGCGCGCCCTGCCCTGCCCCGCCCCCACTGCGCACGCGCGCAGCGGCCGCGCCCTCCGCTCGGTCCGTTAAGACGCTGCCCTGCGCTGACGTGTGATCGCGTGGCGCCTCTCCCCACGGCGGCCCCGCCCC